CTGGAGGCGGCGGGACAGCCCCGCGGCCGACAGGAGTCACGTCAGGTGGTCCTCCCCGTACCTGGAGTGTGAGAATGGGAATTACAAACCCGCCTGGCTCGTGACTCTCTCCACAGCTTTCTATGGGCTGCAGCCAAACCTGCTTCCCGAGTTCAGGTAGGCAAAGGTCTCCCCCCTGCTCCCTTACTAGGCACAGGGGTGCTGGAAACCGCCTGCTTGTTCAGGGCACCTCCACCGGTTCTGGACTAGCTACCTGGTCCAAGCCCCCAGCGACGTGAGCTTGCCTTCAGAGGTAGTAGCCTCTTGGCCAAGCCTTGCCTTGGCATGTGCCAGGGTGCCATTCCTTGGTATGTTACAGTCTATAAACCACTGGGTTTTGTAAAATCACCTCTTTGAGCGGGGTGGTCTGTTCCAGGGCAGAATGCAGGGGCTGTTTCTGTGTGGAGAAGCCAGGAGAAGCTGCCAGTTGTAGTTATTTCTAACTGCAGGAGGAATGCAGACTTGGTAGTTAGTTTGCTGATGTGTTATTAGTTACTCCAGTGTATAATTAAAACTGGCACAATCCCAGCCATAAATCTAACCAGCCAGAACACATTATTTTTATCCTGCAGACTGCAATTTATAGTCTCCCAAACTCATCTTCTTGGAGGTGTGCTCAAACTTGGACAGTGCACTTACAGGTAAATAAACCTGCTGGGTTTGTAGTCCCAAGACAGTGCAGTGCGTGTGCTTAGAGCCTTAAATGCTGGCAGGTCATTACATTTATGTATATTCTTCACTTAAAAATATCAGTGGCCTTGTTATTTCAAAGCACAACGTGATTTTTGGGGTATTCAGGAAATTGCCATCTACTCTCCTACTGCTGTCTAGTTTGCCACTGAGCTCTGAGGGGTATTCAGAGTCAGAGCAGAGAGAAGAGCTCAGAGACTGAAATCTTGACCTTTGACATCAGCAGGAGATTTGCTTGAATCAGGATAGATCCTACGGACAGAGACCACAGAAACTTCAGGTTTCGGACAAGGAACTTTTGCAGCTGGGTAGTGCTTGCTGCATTTTGCAGTTCCTCTGAGTTTCCCAGAGGAACTGCAAGACTGCATTTCTTTGAAGTGGGTGGTGGTCTTTCTGTGGAGAAGACAGCGGTGCAGTTGACCAGCAGAGGTCATCCTGGTAGTGGCACAAAGAACTTCCTGCACACCTGTGGCTTTCCTAGTGCCTTCTCTTTACACATGTTCTGCCTAGCATGTTGGCATAAACTTAATTAACTAAATGCAAAATCCATTGCAACCCTGACATGCAAATATATTTTGGGGTTGTTATTTTTTTTCACCGAAAGGATCTTGGAGTGGTCCATGCTCGTTTTATTGTGTGGAAAGGTTAAAATTAAAGGTGAATATTTCACTATTTTGGAAAAGACAAGTGAAACACAAGTTACATTGAATCTTTCTTAGAAAACTGGTTTCTGTAATGTTTCATATAAAGAGGAGGGGGGGCGAGGAGGAGTATATTTGTAGTGTCAAGGCCAAATGTTCAATTTATTGCTGTTCCCAATTTGAGGAAAGATATGTGTAAAAATCTTGCAATTTTAAAATAAAGCTACAAAAGCATTCTACAGCATGTTGGAAAAATAGGTATAGCTTCCTAGCTATGTAGGAATGTCTGGTAAGTAAGTAATGCCTGGCTATCTTCTTTTCTAATTACTCAAGTTAGATATGGTAACATTTATTTTTAGAATTCTTACATTCAAATTTAGGCAGCAGAAACTATAATTTATTTTACAAAAAGAAGTCCATTAAAATTATATTATTGAGCAAAGTGAAAAATCTGATGTAATCATTATAATATGTATTAGTATTAATTGCCATAAAGTGCTTCTCAAAATAGGTTTTTTATTTCCCATCGCCATCTGTCATTGACACAAGTTGGTTTAATTTTTTAAATTTTTATTTAAAGCCTATATGTGAAAAGGGGGACATGCTAAGCTTTTTCTTTAAAAAAGCGACATTGTTTCTTCCCAACAAAATGTCTCTAGGAACAACTAATTAAGGACACATTACTGCTTCAGTTCACATGCTCCTTCCATGTGATTTTCTAGTATGAGAGCAAAGCAATTATTTGGTGCATGTTCACTCTAAAATGTCTTCTAAAATTTCATATACTCTCTTCCTTGCTCACTTTTTGTTATGACATTGGCTGCATAGTATACTATATTGGAAGAGAGTTTTCTTGATGGAGGTGTGGCAGTTTTTTTAGGGTTAAAAAGTAAGAGCTAGCCCCTTTGCTTGTGTTAATTGCATATGCATTCATATGCAAGCACATAGCAGAAGGAGAGGGATACCATCCTATGTTAAAACATTGGGCTAAACTTTCCTTTCAATTACACCCACTGAGCACTTTTATAAAAGTCAAATGATTGATTCAGATATACATAGGAGGAATAGAAAACAGAGTTTGCCCCTCACAGGAGCATTGCCACTCAGATAGCAAGGGTATGTAACCATTGCTATTTGTGTCCAGGAGTTGTCACTGTTTGGAGACAGACATCTTCTCAATGACATTCTTGAAATGTAAGCAAAACATTCTTCCATAAAGGCCACCATACTCTGTGCTACTGGAGTGCGTTGCACAGGGTGAACCTTCTAATGAAAACATCTCAATGTCTGTGCTAAAGAGCATTTCCCAGAAATAGGCAGCTCAACTGTCTGAGGTGAGGGCCAAGAAAAATTTGGGAACACTTGATTCAATAATTGTCTTAATACTCGTCAATATTAAGATGAAGCCAGTAGAGCAGGATCCTTTCGCTGCATTTTTAAGATTGCCATTGACTAAGTGGTTCTGTAATAACTTGATCTCTTATTTCCTTAGGAAAAAACACCATATTTTAGCTTTTACTTTTGGCGTTAAAGTTTAAAAAGGGACTGCTTATTACACAGTGGCAATGACATGGAATTATTTTACTGTTTAGGAAACCCTGCAGTTCATAGCAAAGAGGGCACTTTTATGTAGGCAAAATGCATCCTAGATGAAATTGACTGTCCCTAGTTCCTTCCTTACAGGGTCTGACTAATGGGAATTGTGGGGTAGAGTTTTCACGAAGTGTCTGCAGTGACAGGACTGTAATTCAAGCCTTTTTCAGGGGCTTTTCCTGCCTGTGGTGGTATGGTCATAAGGTTTGCATTTTCATGAGCCTTGTATAATACTTTCCATCTGATTTCCAAACTTCTGTTATATGTAGGCATGGGAATACCTTCGGTGGTACACAGAGGTCTAGAAGCTTTGTGTTCCACTGGTTGGATATGCTGCTTCAACTAGGTTAATAAGAACAGTTATTCACAGGCTTGGCAAAGCACTGCTGTCTGGTGCAATATTATGAGGTAGTACTGAAAAGGACCTCAGGGGTGATGTAATCCTCATCCTTGCTATTGGAGGCACCATATGATAGAATTGGTTTCATAAATTTATCAAACTCTATCTTTAAAGCAGTTAAGTATTTTTCCTGTAACCCATTTGGAAAGTTGTTAAAGAATCTCACTGCTTTAATGTTTAGGGACTTCTTCTAACTCCTAACCTAAATTTATTCATGGCCAGCATATACTCATTTGTTCTTGTGCCAACATTTATCCTTTACCTCAGGGCTGTCCAACTAATGGTCCATGGGCCACATGGGGCTCACAAGAGGTAAGTTGCAGCCCCAGGTTCCTTCTTGGCCACCACTGTCCCCATCACTCTGGCTGCCTGGCATAGGCGGTGGAAGGGGGGGGTCTAACAGGGCTTAGCCCCCCCAAACATGGGGCAGTGGTAGGTCTGCAAAGCAGCACAGCCACAGGCTTCTGGTGGCTGCATCAGGGATGGGGAATGAGTGGGGCTGGGGCAGGCACTGCACAGCTGGCAGGGCGTGGGACTGAGCTGTGAACGGCTCATTGGGAGCGCAGTTCCTGCTGCTGTGAGCACCCCAGGAGGCATGGCGCTGTGTGCCCCGGATCTGCATGGGGCAGGGTGGGCTGCGACTTGCTGCAGGCAGGGGCCAGGGTGGCACCAGGCTCTTCCTGGTGGGGGCGGGCTGCAGCCACAACTTCAGTCTGCCCTGGCCTGCACAGACCCAGAGGCACATGCTCCCTATGCTTCCCAAGGTGTGTGCAGTGGCGGGAGCTGCCACCCTCTGCCTGTGCTGGATGCCCTCCGAATGAGCCACTTGCGGATCTGTTCTGCGCCCTGCCCTGGCTGCGCAGGGCAGGGCCTCAATCTTCCCTCTCCCCCTGTCCCTTCCCCCACAGACTTATCTGCTAAGGGCGGGGTGCATGTACGCACATGTTCAGTCCCCTACCCCCCTCAAAATGTTTCTCCCTCTGTCTATGAACAGTAGCCGGAGCCTTTGGGCTCCTTCTCCCCCCTCTGGCTTCCAGTTCCTGCTCCCGCCCCAGAGGGTAGGGCAGTGTGGGTAGAGATCTGAGGGTGAGGCTCATGCTGTGTGGACATGTGTTGAAGTGGGAGGAAGGGGGTGTGCAGGCACATGGTACATCAGGGAGGTGCTGTCCAGTGGGTAGTTCAGGGTACCCATGACTCTGGCTCACATGAGTGCTGCCCCTGCTGGTGTGGCCTATGGCCCTTGGCTACTTAGAAGCTGGACAGCTGTGATTTAGCCTAAATAGCTCATTCCCCCACCCCTGGTGTTTACTCCCTCACCCCCTATATCCCTACATTTATAGATGTCAGTCACATCTCCTCTTAGTCTGTGTTTTCGTAAATTGAATAAGTCAAACTCTTAGTCTCTTCGCAAATTCCAGGCCCTACATTTTGTAGCAGCCATTCTGCAGCTATTTCAGTTTGAGTTTAACTTCCTTGAACATGGTGATGAGAATTATTCTGGATGAGGTAATGCCTTGTACAGTGGCATTGATACTTCCCTGACTCTACTGTACTAATGGCTCCCTTTTTGGTTTTCTGTAGTCTCTTGAGTACAAACCTTGATATGCTGCCATTATTGGAAATGGTCATATCTGTTACTCATGGGAGGTTTTTTACAGCAGGTCTGAATATCTTCAGGGTCTGGGTTACTCTCTCTTTGCGTTAAGTATGTATTTCCAAGCTTCCTTTTAAATAGAACTGTTGGGAGAGTGTGTATGAATGATGGTTATTTGGCAATGCATGACCATTCTCAG